TTGCGTTTTTGCTCATTATTAAATCACTAAGGCTAAACACAAACTGCACGATGATCATCTGATTTTGAGCCGATTTCTCCCCTTATGACATTCCCAGGTAATGTCCCAATTTTCTTGATGTTTAAAAAAAGTATCTTTTTTTTTCTTTAGTCTGTTTAGAAGAGCATCAGAGGTCCTCGTAAATATTCAGCATATTGACAATTTACATTCAGAAATCCTGATGTGTGCATGGGGGATGATCATGAGGACGAACCTGAACACATGCTGAAGATTATTCTGTGACACGAAAAAATATAATATAATATATGGCGCAGCACAAAGTGGAATAAAATTGGAGAATCAGCTTGTTGGTTTGTGGCAAGAGCACAAATGTTTATTCATCCGCCATGTTTATTGTCAAGTCTCAAGAGATTTGGTGAGATTTCCTGTGTTCACATTCGGGATGAAAATCTGTAGGTCTGTTTCTCAATTCTAAAAATGCAGAAAACGGACTTGTGTTCACGTGAAGTCCGGTCTTGCCAGGTTACCTTGAAAGAACGAACTTGGGAGACCTCGAGAATAGAGAATGTGTCCTGTGAGAAGTGAGATGCTACAGATTTTACTATACATTTCAGCAAATGAACACCCTTAATGTGTTTATGCCTTTAGTAAAATTTTCATGGAAATGTTTACTCTCACCATGTCATTTAGGGAAAGTCCTTCTGAGATAAACAACTTTTACTTTATTAAGAAATCTATACAAAATGCCCACCTCCTTCATTCAGCCGCAATGGCTTCTGGGACTTCTCGAGCGAGTTCGGTGCTCAAGTCTGCATCTGTGCATCCTTGATATCAAAAAAACATCTGGGAACTTTTACGCGTCCTCCGTTCTTGCGGTCTTGAGTTTTGAAACTAAAATTTGACGGATGATGATGACGTTACACAAGATACGAGGACGCAAGATCGCTGAAGAACGCATATTGAGAAACAGCCTAGGGATGTTGTACTGTCTTTGACACATTGCAGCACACCTCACTCTATAAAAGCAAAACTGTGCAACCTAGCCTACATATCAAGGTTTCAGTTAAAAAGCTTCCTAAATGTTTAAACGAAGCAAAACACGACTTGCATAACAGATGTCCTGCGAGTGCATAAATGAACAGCAGATTTTCATTTTTGTGTGAACTCTCCCTTTAAGCTGTAGATCATGTTTTTAATATTGTATTAATCATCTTTTTTTTCTATAGGAGTTGTGGGTGTATTTAATTAATGGGACGTTTAGCATGTTAGCACTGCTGCATTTAACATACCTGGGATCAGTTTTTGGCTCCAGCTCAGATGACATGGATTCTGATGAGGTACAAGCCATTTCTTCTCAAACCCTGTACACTGTAAAATATTTACCCCTATATTACTGGCTAATAATTGCATTAACTTTACAGTAAGGTACTGTATGTAAATTCACAGTATTTGAGGTAATTAAAATGTTTTCACAGTAAGTCACTGTAATTTTGACATCAAATTACTGTGATATTACAGCCATATAAAGTGACTTCACATTAAAGCACATTACTGCAATTTCACACTGTTCTCTGGTAAAATTTACTATATTTTTCCTGTGAACTTAAAATATGATTACTGTGTTTTAGCAGTAGTTTGCAGTTGAAATACTTGATTTAACGGTGTAGTATCCGGTTTCTGATCAGGATTTTCGTCCACAGGATGGCGTTGCCAGCCACACCATTCAGAAGTGGACTCAGCTCAGCTGGACCAGCCACTGGCTGACCTTCGCCCTTTGGGTCTTCTATCGCCTTATCCTATAAACACAGAGATCTGCACAGACGAGGAGAACGGGAGAGGTTAGCAATGAATGAATATTTTATATATGCTTACAGTAGAGCAGTCTTGAGTGTTTACTGTGTCACTGTGAACTCTGGATGATCCTGGACTGGAATTTTTGCATTAACCAGAACTTTACGAATATCAGGATGTTTTGATGTTTTCTAAACTACCTAAAACCAAGAAGCATCAACAACTTTTTACAGCAATCCTCGATAAATGTGAAATTTGACTTATTCATAGCCATAGTTGATGAATCAAGATTTTGATATGACTGAATCATGAATCTAGTTGATGTTGGTGTAGAATTTTTACTTCTAAATGTGAAAAGAACTATTGTTTCCCAACCGTGTTCCTGGAGGCACACCAACAGTACATATTTTGGATGTGTCCCTTATGTGACCCATTGAGTTCAGGTTATGGAGTCTCTTCTACTGTTCAGCTGAGTTGATTCAGGTATGTTTAATTAGGAAGAGGTTGAAATAGTTATTGTGCCTTTAGTAACAGGGTTGGGAGATGCTGGTTTAAGAAGTTGTTTCTGGTTTGCTTTATGGCTTTTTTTAGCTTGAATTTGCTGTTGAGTTTAAAAGCTTGAGTTTGTTTTTCAATTCCACTTTATGCTGATGCTTTTCATTAAAGCACATATCATGCTGCCATTCACAATATGTTCATTATGGTATTTATGTGCAACAAACATGCAAAATCTTTTTTTTAATTGTCATTACTGTTCCTCTTAGAGCTCTGAATGCACATAGGATAAGCTTCAAATACTTTTTTTTTGTATGAATCATCAATCAAGTGGTGACAGTATGTTTCTGTGTGAGTTTGAGACGCTCAGTATTGAGACAGTATTGTTAGTGTTTGATAGTTTCTTATATTTAAGCATTTATAAAATGTATATTACTCCTGGCTACAAGAAAACTTTCAAGATAGTGTGATTTGTTTGTGTGTGTGTATTTATTTTAATCTTTGCTTTTTTATCATCATTAATGCTTGTTGGTAAATAGACTAGTGACATTACTGTATTTAAGGTCACACTGTTTTTAAGTGCCAAACAGAACACTAATAATTAAAATCTGATTAATGTCAGATATGTTCTGATAGTACTTCTGTTTACTGTGTTTAGACATTCAATACATTTTTACACTGTTGTTAACTATTTCCTTAAATTTATGAGTGAATATTAAATAAAGGGTTCAGATATCAAGGATGATTTTGACATTCTGTATGACTGATTGTGACATCAAACTTTTGTCAATAAAACATTTATATTTGTATTTATTTTGTCAATTTATTCAAATCCCAGATGACCTGTCTAACTTTTGTGTATGCTTCAAATTGTTTACAAGAGTTTACATACATAAAGCATATTTAAGTGTCTGTGTTAATGTTTTAAATAATGTCTGTCTAAGATGTTAAAGTAAAGGAGAAATAATAATCCATCATCAATCAGTGTAACATATATACATTTACAAGAAAAAATTTACACAACACAAGAATGTGTATTAATATTACATTTTATTTGATCTTAAATAATAGAAAATGTCGTTTAAAAGGGTGGTCCAGAGTGTATTTTTAAGGCTTGGTTGTGTTTAGAAGATGCAAAGAAATGTGTGCTCATGTTTAACTTGTACAAAATCATGTTATTTTTTCATAAATCTTACTTTAATTATTTACAGCTACTCAGCTAACATAAAAATGACAGTCATATTTTCTAGTTCCGCTGAAAGGCCCGCTCTCAAGAGGCTCTGATTGGTCAGCAAACATAATGTGCTGTGATTCGCAGATTGGCACCAATACTGTCAGTCAGTGTAGCTATGTCAGGGTGAAACTGAATTAGATAGAAAATTAAGAGGACACAGCTGAACCTCATGCCTGCTCTCTAAAATCTGACAAGTTTCTTTTATATATATAGCTGCTCCTTTAAAGAGTTTTTAGCCGAATCCAGCCCTTAACTGGGAGAGATTCTGAAAGTTTTCCTTTGTCAAATGCTATATATATATATATAATTCTCTAGAAGATAATTAAAATTAAACTGTAAGCATTTTTGTCTTTGTGCCATGTCCCCTGGAAGCCCACATACAGAAACAGAACAAGCTCTGTGGAAATAGCAGTGTTTAGAGGCATTTTAGCTTTCTCTCTGCTACATTACAGTGACTCTGGCCGTGCCCTGTTTCCAGACATCCCAAGTCTTCCGGATGTTCCGGGAGTCTCCCGCAAATGCATAGAGACTCCTGGACGCCCGCAAATGAATGACAATCTCCCGGAAATCACGCGTCTCCCGCCCAGTCCTTAAATAGTCTCCACCGCATCCCTCCCAGCTCTTCAGGTACGTCGGGCACAACTCAACCCTACAGCTTTTCAGCCACAACTCACCACCATGCTCTTCAGATACGTCGCGCACACACGCCCCTATCACTCTTCAGATACGTCGCACGCACACGTAAACCCCCCAACCCCCCTTCCCCCGCTCTTCAGGCACCCACTCTCCTCCCGCAAATCATCTCTGTGTCCACCGGAAATTACTTTTCCCAACTGGGGATGTCTGCGTTGCTGTGCAGGGTGTGTGCGCGTAACCTGAAGCATTTGTGTTCTCACTAACCCGGATGTATACTTTTGTAGTCCCCAAATTTCATTCACTGTAGGCTTTGCTAACCTATCTCTGTAAAAGCCAATTTCTTCCTTTGCATTGAACTTTGAGCATATTACATTCAGAGATGTTGTTTATGTTCACACAGACAGACTCTTCAACTAAAGTTTAAACTGTGATATTGTAGTGAACCACGTACCCCATTAAAACGTAATGCTTTGAAAGATAGTGGCAAAATGATTTACAATGGTAAATATTTTGTATTTTGGAGCTGTACTGTGATCCTTAAATATAGTCTTTTAATATGTCAACAAATAATTCTGGCTCAGAATATCCCTAATGACACCTTTGATATATACATCCCTGCATGGGCTCTTTATTTTTAAAAGAGATAGTTCACCCTGTTAAACACAAATGATTTTTTTAGAATATCATGTTTGTTTTCAAAAGAAGAAGAAAATAAGTTTACAACCTCTTGAGTGAGAGTAAATGTTGAGAAAATGTAGATTTTGGTGAACTATCTCTTTAACGGCAGGGGGCGGCAGCGCGCAATCTTTTGCTCAGCGCAACCTTGCGACAGAAACTGTGAAGCAAACCGCGCTATAAATGGGACAGCAACATGGCGATGTCCTCGGGCATGGCAGTCTTTTGCCGTCTGACTGGCAGATCCTTAGGGGCAGTACTCGGTCACGGCCGTGGAAAAAGCCTCACAGTTCGAAGATGGTACATCACTGCCAGCTCAGGCAACAGTGAGTAAACGCACGTTTTGCACGTACCTCAGTGTTGAACTCCAGTCAAACCTGGAGGTCAGAAGAATTCATATCATGCTTATGAATATTAATACACTTCAAATATTTCCTCGTATCAATTGTTAGTGTCCGATATTGTACTCAGCTTACTAACTTAAAATACATTACGCATAGATATGAGTTTTGTTGTGGAACGTATGAAGAGTCACGTGTCTGAGATGCGATGCCAGTCAGCTGGCACAAGCTGGTGATGGTAATACTATGCAAAACAGTGTCAGTGACTCAGTATAAATGTCTGTTTAATTTAATAATTTTAATATTTGTGAGCTGCTCGATGAACGGGAACATTATGTTCCTTCGTTTACCGAGAGTCCTCCTCTTAAAAAAATCATTTTCAAAGTTACTACAATACAAGCAAAGTCTCATGCTCTCATTACTACTACAGTGTCAGGGATTAATAAATGTTTATATAATTAAACTTCATAATCTTTTTTTGTCATTTTATTTGCTGTTTAACTTTAAATACTGAACAGTCACCATTAAATGTACCGCTTTTATTAGTAACCCTTACAAAATACTAGAAAAAGTACAAGGTACACAACAAAAACCTCTTAATCCAGATTAAATTGGGTGGCTATTTTTGTTGATTTTAACATATAGGTCTTAAGTCCAGTCTGAAGGAATGGTAAAAATATCGAAGTTTAATTTGTAATAAAAAGTTTTTTTAATGTTGAAGTTATAAATGTCGCTAATACATTCCATTGTGTGCTCTTTATAAATTCACAAAGCAGAAATTCCTAAACACAAATAATAATTTTGCATGACTAATTTAGCAGAATTTTGTTTTCATATAATTTGAACAAAATGTAGTCAAATCAGAAAAAAAGTTAGCAAAAGTATGTATATCAATTGAATATCAATTGGCAGATATAGGACAAAATGAAACTTGTGCTCAGATAACAAAATCCTAATTTGGAGGCTCAAACAAAGCAAATTTGGTATGCTTTTATGTAGCAGACTACACATGTCATAAAATGCATATAAATATATGTAGATAACAGTAGATGTCACTCTTTACCTCCCAATAATAGGTCTTATTAAGATGATGTTGCATTTCAATGATCCAAACTTCTGAAGGTTTTCATGTGCAGAACAAATCACTGTAATGCCCACCCACTTTGAATGTTATCACTCGATTAAATGGTCGTCATCAGTGGTTATCAGCTGATAGTTATGGGCCAGTAGGGGCCTTCTCAAAAGGCTCTTATAATCCATCCACATGGTTAATCAACTATACTAAAAGAGAAGATTTCAGCTTCAGATCTGCCTTTACATTACTGTGAGGGCTGGGTTTAGTGTTGTGGTAGGGGTAGATGTCAATAAAATACAATTAATGGTCAATTTAATAAACAATAAAAATAATTGGATGTGGATGGATAAGAACTTTCTGAGCCTATCAGTATGTGCAGAAGGGCCCTACTGGTCCATATCTATCAGCTCATAACCACTGATAATGCCCATTCAATCGAGTGATAACTAGGCCCACACAGAATCTATGCGCACAGACAAATGCTGATTTTAGCTCATCCTTGAGTCTATTTATTTACTTTTATTTTTAAATTAATTTCAGTAATATTATTGACCAAATTAAAAGTGTTCAATTGATTTATTTACACAACAGTTTGTAAAGTAATATTTTCTGTCTTTTGTATGATGTATTATATACGACTCTTGCTTTGTTTACCAGTTAAGTCGATCTTATTGGATTTTAAAAGGTTATTTTTTATTTAGTATAAGTTTTTAGTTCCAGTACTCCCAAAATCAGTCCACATCTGCAAATTTTTTTTTTTACAAAATTCTGCGCAGAAATGGCAGAAAATGTCCACAGATTCTGTTTGGCCCCAGTGATAACATTCAAATAGGCTGGCAATGCAGTATGATGACAGACATATGTACAAATAATCTTTTGCTCAGAGTGATGTACCATTTGAAACAAAAGATTCTCAAGCAAACCTAAGTTGCTTTAGTATAGTTAGCATTTATGTTAAAATACTGGTGACAATATATATTTATTCCTGTGGTAATTTATATAATTTTTCAAAATATTTGTTTCATTTTCACTTGTTGTGAAAGTAATTTAACAGCAAAATAATGTACCACAACAGTATTGTGATTTAATAAAAAGCCTTTTACTAGCTAAATCTATAAATCAAATGACCATTACAGATCATTTAGAGACTATAGAAATATGTATATAGTTGGCTTAACTGTGTTAACCCCAAAAGTACCATAAAACTACAACAGGAACATTTGTCATTGCACAAAACATAAAGCTTTTTTCTTTATTATATTATATTATATTATATTATATTATATTATATTATATTATATTATATTATTGATTAATTTTTCTTTGGCTTATAATTAATTTATTTTAGATGTTTTCCAGTACTGGGTTGCAGCTCAAAGGTAATGCGCTGTGTTAAACACATACTGGATATGTTGGTGGTCCATTCCGCTGTGGCAACCCCTGATGAATAAGCCAAAGGAAAATGAATGATTATTATATTATATTATATTATATTATATTATATTATATTATATTATTTATATCTCTGCAGATGTGCAGTTTAAGCTTGATGAGCGAACCGCTCACAGCAGCCTGGATCTTTTTAAGAAAGAGACTGGTGTGATCTATCGAATGCTTGGTGTGGACCCGTCTCTGGTACAGGACACCCCTCTGCGTTTCCGGGACTGGGCCGTGGTCCTCGCCGACACCCCTATTGAATCTGGACGCCACTATTGGGAAATCACAGTTAAGAAGTCTCATGAATTTAGAGTCGGAGTGGCTGATGAGTCCACGTCCCGTGACGAATGCGTAGGCACCAATTCCACTTCCTGGGTGTTCGCATTCGTCCAGAGGAAGTGGTTTGCTATGATTATGGGGAAGCAGGTCCCGGTGCCATTAGTTGGGAAACCGGATCGAGTCGGGCTCTTGTTGGACTACGAGGCGGGACGGCTCAGTCTGGTGGACACCCAGAAAAATGAAGTGGTGCATACCATAAAAACACAGTTCCGCTCGGCCGTCTGTCCTGCGTTTGCTCTCTGGGACGGGGAGTTACTCACACATTCGGGACTGGAGATCCCAGCTGGGCTTCAGTGACTCGTGTTCATTCACACATGGATGCTACATGCCTCTTAATGGATAGAAAAAAGGAAGTATAGGGGCCTTACGAAATGGGAACACAGTCGTTTTTTTACTGCCATTAATCCAGATTTGTCCACTAAGCTGGAGAAAGTATAAACTCAGTCTACTGTTTGTGATATAATGCTGATGAACTAATGTTCAACATATGAATACTTGACATCCTCTAAACGGATTTCTTATGTGCATCAAATACAGTGTAAGATGTTTTTTTTCAATAAACAGACACTATATACCAGTCATGATCTTTATTTACAGTCTGTACATACTTTTTTTTTGTCTTATTATACTTTTCCATCTTCATCCATAACAAAGGCACTCTTTTCATTTTTAATATGAATTTTTTTCCCTCCAAATCCTTTAAATGTGTATCCAGCAATACGGTGCATACATATACCAATTTTAAATACATTAATTTCTCTCAAAACAATGCTTTTACATTCAGCATTCAGATGAAGCTTTGTGCCCTACATCAATATAACATTTTAATTTAAATAATAACTTAGAAAACATATTCAAAAGCTTCAGAAATTCAAAACGTCTTACAAATAGTACAAATATACAGATACCTGCTCTAAATATTTATCTGATGGTTATTAGTAGCTTGAACGGCTTTGATGGCCATATGACATTATGGAAAGCCCTGGCGCGTGAACCTCCTCAGGCAAAGCAATGTTATGGCATTTCCAGAATGATTCATAAATAAACTACTCAAACCGCAGCTGAAAGTGCACACATGCTTGTCCTGATAGATGGCCTGCTAAATTTACACCAAATTGTACTTCGTAAACAAGGCCGGATGCAAGATAATCGAGAAGAGTTGTAGTTTAAATGGCTGAATATATGACCAGACGGATTTCAACACAACACTTTTACAACTCTACAGTTTCAATAGATTTTAACATTTTTCAGTAACAAACCTATTTCCTACAGAAGGGCTGGGCCGATAAACGTTATTATATTGAATCGTGATATAATTTATGTCAATAACAATGATAAGCTCTGGACTTTTTTTACTCCATATTGATCTAAGAGCCAATCACATATTAGAAATGTACAGTAATGGGAATCTAAAAGTGTTCATATTAGTTCATATTAAAGAATATTTGGCCACCGAAAATTTATCAGCTGAAAATATGTAATGCTATTTAATGGATTCTCTAATTTTTGTAGCTTCAGTCATTGTTGGATTACTCTTTTGAAATGGGGAACCATTATAAATCTAATTATTTATCATCGTTCAATATGGAAAATAATTATCGAGATTGAAATTTTGCCTTATCGCCCAGCCCTATTTTAAAATGAGGTGTGTGTGAAATGTGATATCAAGTGCTGCAAGTTACATATAATATATATATAGGAAGCCCTGACTGCACTGCACAATTTTATATATATATATATATATATATATATATATATATATATATATATATATATATATATATATATATATATATATATATATATATATATATATATATATATATACAATCGTGCAGTAGTAATAAGTGTTTTATGTAGTTAAGGCTAAGCTGTAATGCTTAATAAAGGAAGTGCTTAAATAAATAGATTAAATAAAACATCTTAAGGGATTAACAGAACTTTCAGAAGCTATTTACAATCATTTTTAAAATTGTTATTAAATTATTTAAACTTTTCAATTCTAGCTAACATTACTTTATTCCTAAAGGTGCAGTTCTCAAATATTTGGAAAATGCATTTGACACACTTGCAGCCAATCAGCAGAAAGGGGGGTGTCTATTTATGATTCCCTAAATATAATAAAGGAGAGAGGCTTTGGGATATGTTTTTTGTTTTGGTTCTTTTTAAAATCAGCATCGTTTTCCGAAATTCAGTGCAACTTTAAATGTATAAACATTTTGAAAATATATATATTTTTTATTTACATCTTGCAGTTCTGCGGTTCGTTCTTGGTACCTTGCTTAAATGATCTAAGATGATTTAACAGATCCTGGATCCTTTAATCTCTGGCTAATTTTTGTCTTTAAACAAGTTCGCAAATCAGGTTAAAATGTCTGGATGAACTGATCTGAGATCACTGCATGTATTGGCTGTCGACACAGCAGCGTAATGACATCATCTGAATAATATTCAATTATCCATGTGAGCCAAATGACATCAAATTCATAGTAAACGGTTTGTTGAATATGATACGTAATAACTTTACACCTTTGTTGTGGGCTGCAGGCTTTACACTTATGTGTCAAGAGTATTTAGCAAGTTATTTTATTTTACATTTAGAGCTGATTTTCTTTATTATAGTAGCCTAGGCCTGTTTAAGTTTTTCTTAATCGTTGTAAGGAAAAACTGGCTGTTTAAATTACTTTTGTATCAAAAAAGATTTAAAGGTGTCTGCAACTTCTTCAATGCATCAAATCAGCGTCATATTAGCTGTCAAAACACGTGCATGACTGCATAAATAATTATTCCTTTAAAGAAAACAAATATTGTGCATGTCTATTGTCATACACAATGTATACTAAAGCTGGTAAAATAGTATTTGTTTGTGTCTAAAAAGTCCATAATAATAAACATTCTTTTTAAACCCCTTGGTGAGAACCACCCCAGTCTAATGGGCCTACTTTTATTTCGGATTGCAGATTGCATGTTATATTTATATAACTTTTTAAAAACTATTTGACTATTTTCCCAAGTGTATATAACTACTATACTGTAAGAAAATATCAGCATTAGGTACATACTTTTTGAGTTTCACCTTTGCGTGAAAAGACCCGATCTAATCTTGTTTATATGAAATAAGCTGCTGCTCCCAAGCAAGTTTGAGCTACCAGACCTACCAGACAGTTTGTGGGTGTGCAACTGAGTTCAGAAGACACATTCACACTAGCTAAACATACTGAACTCAAAAAAACCAGGGTGTGAACCAAAAGTGCTAGTGTGAAAGCAGCCTTAATCTAATACTGCGAAAGCTCGTAAAATGTTAATCATTTACAAAAAATAGATTAAAAATCCAGTCTAATGTGTCTGAATGCAAAACATCACACCCAGTGTCCACCTTTACTTAACATTATCCACTTGTAATCAAATCATAAAATAGGTAGTGAATGAGTCCTTCTAGTGTCTAAGATTACTGCGAAAACTTTGAATCAAGGGTGACCTTTTACATAAATTTTCATTACAGTAAAATAACTTTGAGGGAAAGGAAGCTTCAGCATCTAAATTGGTCCAAGTACAAACCACAAACTGTCCTTGAGGACCAGTACCAGAAATGATCTGGAAGTACCTGGCAGTTTCATAATCCCACCGTAGACATAACGGAGGTTTGTAAAACTACAGTAATGACCATTGCAAACCCTTAGCAGGAGCTAGTTGACATCTACATACAGCAGAGCTTTGGTTTGAAGCACTATCTCACCTGCGTGCACCTGCTCAGTGTGTCTTTACACGGGGCTTTGTCCTAAATCTAACACCCACATGCATCCCTGAAGTAGCGAGAGGCCGCGGTTTGGGATTTTCTCCCTCATATTAAACTCTCTAGAGTCTCCATGCTCTTCAGTTCATCTGCATCAATGGAGGAATCGGGGCATGTGTCTGCACTGAGCACCTCAGGTAGTAGGGTGTGTGTGTAAATGCTCTGATACTCTTGGAGCACCTTGGCCACCGTATTGTGCCCAAACTGCATCGCATCATCAAGAGGTGTGTTTCCCCATCTGTAGAACAGATGGACGAGTGTTACACACACATGAAACAAAAACAAAGCAGAAAAAGAACAATGGGCATGGGTTTGCAGTACCTGTCCTTTACATAGGGGTTGACCTTGCAGGTGTCTGTTAAAAACTTGACTGCTTCTAAGTGCCCTGAAACCAGAGTTTAGAGACCTATTAATATATTTACAACCAATTTAGATGTCACGATTTGATCATTAGGACTCGTTATCCATGCTGTTAGTAATCATTTTCAACTTAATTTCCAGACTTAAGGTCCACTTCATAGAGATGAAGTGATTAATAATCAATTAAAGGAATAGTCCACCCAAAAATGAGGATTATATTATTAATTACTCGCTCTTGTGTTGTTCCAAACCACTTGGGACCTTTGTTTGTTTTTAAAACACAAATGAAGATATTTTAGATGAAATCTGAGATAATCCTCCATATAAGATGATTTGGAGACATCCTCAAAACAGACTATATACTATCAGTGGTTCATTCATACATTTTCTTTTCGACCTAGTCCCTTTATTAATCAGAGGTCGCCACAGCGGAATGAACCGCCAACTATCCAGCACATGTTTTACGCAGCAAATGCCCTTCCAGCTGCAACCCATTACTGGTAAACCCCCATACACTCTCATTTACAAACATACACTACAGACAATTTACATTCAATTCACCTGTACCGCATGTCTTTGGGCTTGTGGGGGAAACCGGAGCACCAATAGGAAAGCCACACGAACACAGGGAGAACAAGCAAACTCCACACACAGAAATGCCAACTGACCCCGCCGTGGCTCAAACCAGCGACCTTCTTGCTGTGAGGTAACAGCGATACCCACTGCTTCATGCTTGTTTCATGCACAAAAGTATTCTTGTAGCTTGATAATATTCTGATTGAACCACTGAATACACATGTGAACCACTGTTTTGACTGTATTTGGTACCTTTCTGGTCTTTAAACGAGTTGGGGCCATTGCTATCCTTGGAGGATGAGAGAGCTCTATGATTTCATCCAAAATATCCTGATTTGTGTTTCAAAGATAAACAAAGGTTTAAGGGATTTGGTACAAGATGAGAAGTTATTATTAAGAGAATTTTACTTTTGAGTGAACTATCCCTGTTAGTAAAGGATAATGGTGATTTCACACTGACATTCTAGTTTGAATCGGCATAAAATGTTTGCATACAAACTGTTACTGTAAAACTCAGACTATGTATTGTAGTTGGTCTATATTTGGAATTGTGGATTGATTTTAGTGAATCTGAAAAGCTCCAACGGCATGGGCTTTGTTTTCTTTCTTTTTTTTTTCTCAGAGCAATTTGTGAGGGCATAAATTGATTGAAAATGCAGCAGACTGTGAAATCAGACTATTTAAACAAAAAGCAAAGAGCACCTTTAACCAACAGTACAAAGCCAAGAGAAAACCATAACAAAAACACACAATTTTCCAGACAAAAATAAGCAATAGAGACATTACTGAATAGAGAGCATTCACTCTTCATTAGTTCACAATATGGAGACGATAAAGTGAACTACTCT